TAGCGCTTGTTTCTTCATGAGCATGCGAAGACTTGCAAATGGAGCTCTTGCGCCTTCTTGAACCGGACAAGTGTGGTGTTGAATCATCCCACTTCTTGCTCTTGCAGAAGAAAGCTTAAAAACTCGACAACTCAGATATTCCAAGGGTACCCTTCGGCCTGGACAGGTGCTAACAACCAATTTGGACCAACGACAAGCACCGAAGCAACAGAAGCTTTAGACTTAGCTCCGAAAATGCTGTTGCCATGGCTGCAGTTGTTTCTGTTGATGCTGACACCCATCTGTGGAACTGCCGTGGCACCGGTGGCCTTCCAAAACGGAAGTGAACTACGTGCTGCCGTCATTGCTTGGCAGTTGGACGCCGAAGCTTGGCAGGGAGGCCAGTGGATGCTTGGGATGATGGGTTGGCCCTCCGGAAAGGGCATGTTGGTCAAGAGTTTGGCGCTTCAAGCAAGTTGCTATGATGCGCTAAGGAGAGAAGCCGACTGATCTCGACCTATGGCAACATTGGCCGCTGGGATGTCTCCCAGGTGACCAATATGAGCCGACTGTTCTCCGAACAACGGCGGTTCAATGAAGAAATCGGAGACTGGAACACCTCTGCAGTGACCGACATGGAGTACATGTTCTCCGACGCCGAGGCCTTTAACCAGCCCATTGGATCATGGAACACCTCTGCAGTGAGCAACATGGCGTTCATGTTCTATCGGGCTAAGGCCTTCAACCAGCCGATCGGATCATGGAACACCTCTGCGGTGACCAACATGAGGTCTATGCTCTCCGGTGTCCAGGCCTTCAACCAGCCGATTGGACCATGGAACACCTCCGCAGTGACTAGCATGGTGGCCATGTTCTGGGATGCCAAGGTCTTCAACCAGCCCATTGGATCATGGAACACCTCTGCAGTGACCAACATGGCGGCCATGTTCCATGGTGCACAGGCCTTCAACCAGCCGATCGGATCATGGGACACCTCCGCAGTGACTAACATGGTTTCCATGTTCAACGGCGCCGAAGCCTTCAACCAGCCGATTGGGTCATGGGACACCTCTGCACTGACCACCATGGTGTCCATCTTCTCCGGCGCGAAGGCCTTCAACAAGCCGATTGGAGCATGGGACACCGCTGGAGTGACCAGCATGGCGTACATGTTCAACGGCGCCGAAGCCTTCAACCAGCCGATTGGATCATGGAACACCTCTGCAGTAACCCAGATGATGAATATGTTCTCCGGCGCCAAGGCCTTCAACCAGCCAATTGGATCATGGAACACAACTGCAGTGACCACCATGGCGTACATGTTCCGTGGCGCCCGCGCCTTCGACCAGCCGATGGGATCCTGGAACACCTCCGCAGTGACCAGCATGGTGGCCATGTTCGACGGCGCCCAGTCCTTCGACCAGCCAATTGGATCGTGGGACGTGTCTGCCCTGAAAAGCTGCCTGCCTTAAAAACTCTTTGAGACACAGATGCATTTTGTTTACCAGATTCTGCCAAGTTTGCTTTATTCCCCAAACAGCTCTAACAAGAACGGGCCGCGTGCTGCCAGATCGCCGGGCCGCATGCTCGTTAGTGTGTGCATTTACTTGTCTCCCAGCATGTGCCTTCATCTGTCTCCCGGTGCTCAGATAGCAGGGCCGCGTGCTCCCCAGTGTGCGCATTTGCTTGTCTCCCAGAGTGTGTTTACTGTCGGCGCACAAGACTGTTCCTTGCTGGCGCATAAGCGTACCCACCGTCGGCGCACAAGAGAGTTTCAGTGTTGGCGCAAAAGGGTGTTCCCTGTCGGCGCGGCGCGCAAGAGTGTCCTCTGGCTTGTTCCCAGTATCAGCGCGCACAAGTGTTCATTGCTTGCGCACAATCGTGTTCACTGTTGGCGCACATGAGAGTTCCTTGTTGGCGCAAAAGCGTGCCCACTGTCGGCGCACAAGAGTGTCCCTTACTGTTGGCGCACAAGTGTGTTCACTGTCGGCGCACACAAGCGTTCCTTGTTGGCGCACAAGCGCGTCCACCGTCGACATGCAAGACTGTCCTCGTTGGCGCAGAACGGCTCTTGGTGCATAAGCGTGTCCACTGTTGGCGCACAACAACGCCCGTGGTCGGCGAACAAGTGTGTTTACTGTCTTCGCACAAGAGTGTTCCTTGTTGGCGCATAAGCCAATCCATTGTCGGCGCGCGCAATGATATCCACCATCAGCGCACGAGAGTTTTCCTCGTTGGCGCATAAGCATGTTCACCGTCGGCGCAGAGTAGTGTTCCTCGCTGGCGCATAAGCGTGTCCACCGTCGGCGCACCAGAGAGCTTCACTGTTGGCGCTATTGTCGGCACCCATTGTTGGCGCACAAGCGTCTTCATTGTGGGCTCACACAGTTCTTCCTTGTTGGCGCACAAGCGTGCCCAGCGTCGGCACGCAAGAGTGTTCCTCGTTGGGGCATGAGCGTGTTCGCCGTCGGAACATAAAGCGCACACTGTTGGCACAACAGCGTGCCCACTGTCGGCTCACAAGTGTGTTTACTGTCGGCGCTCAAGAGCGTTCCTTGTTGGTGCATAAGCATACCCATTGTCGGCCCGCACAAGCGTGTTCACCGTCGGCGCATGAAAGTGTTCCCTCTTGGCGCACATGGGCGTTCCCTGTCGGAGCACAAGAGTGTTCCTTGCTGGCGCATAAGCGTACCCACCATCGGCGCGCGTACCCACCAGCGGCGCACAAGAGAATTTCACTGTTCGCGCATAGGTGTTTATCGTCGGCGCACCAGAATGTCCTCTGTTGGCGCACAAGCGTGTTCATCGTCGGCGCCCACAGTTGTTCCGTGCTCACTGGCGGCGCAATGTTGGCGCATACGCGTGTCCGCCGTCGGCGCACAAGAGTGTTCCTTGTTGGTCGCAGAAGTGTGTTCACTGTCGTTGGCTTGATCTGCGAAGTGCATCATTGTGTTATTATGATCTGGCGGGGGTCTACGCTGGAATAATTTTGAGGTTACATACGTTCGTTCATTTTGAGTTTGCGCCCGCACTCGCATGTGCATCCGAGGCCACGATCGCATGTTTCACGCCCTGATGCCGCCGTGCGAAGCAGGCAGAGGTCCCGGCCGGAACCAGCTCATGTGCGAGCGCTGCGGGGTTGGGCAGCACGCCCCAGCAAGCGGTTTTTGCCAAGGATGTCCGGCAGGCGTGGTGTTCGTTCCATGCCACATCGCGTATGTCACGCGCACGATGTAACGTCAGTTAGCTTAAGTATACTTGCACAAGACGATGAACACCTATCATGCAGCCATGGCACGTGCGTTTGACGTCTTGTTTGCGTAGGTGCCGTGCCCTCAGATGATCGCGGCACATGTGTCGAGTGCCCGATGCTTCACTACTCCGCGAGAGGCCGTGACAAGTGCCTTGCGTGCAACCCGCCGCTGGTTTTGGCAGATAACCACTGTGCATCTGGGCAATGAGGCGAGCAACGTTTGGCATTCACAACTCTTTGGTTTGTGAACTGGCATCCGTGCAGTTGAGCGAGTAGATTCGTAAACGAATTGGTTGAGCATGTATCTTTACTTACTGTAGGACATATGCCTTCTCTTTGTATGACATTTCCAGCTTTTTCCCTGAAAGCGTCACAATATCACAATCTGGTCATCGTAGTGATAGTGTGCCAACTTAGGTGTGGTGGCACCTGCCCCTTGTAGCACTTTGTGTGGCAGGCTTGGCCGTTGCGGCTCGTCTGCTGCACGGGTGTAACCGTGCAAGGAAAGCTGGGAAGATCGAGCGCTTGCTGCAAGACATGTATGCGGAGCTGTGGGAAGCTTGGACTCATTCGCAGTGGCAAATGTGACCAATTGAACACAGAGAGCTCCCTCGGATCTCTCTGTGAAAGGACTGGCGAAATTGGCAAGTCCTGTTTGGCCAGAGAGGCGCAAGTTCAACCGCCGCATTGCCATATCAGGACGAAGGACCAACCTTTGCGGCCACTTACTCCAAGAAGTTGGAAGGCCTTGGGTGTCAGAAGGCAGCGGAAAGAATTGGCGAGATGCGTGCCATACAGAGCCAAAGAGCCGGCGTTCCTTGGCAAGTAGCCGTTTTCGCTAAGGCTTTTCTTTACTTTGCCGCGGCAGTTCATTGAGCCCTCATTTGTGGAGTTGTCTTTGTTTTCCTTCGTTGGGAGCGCGTCAGCGTCCTCATTTTGGAGTTGCTCATTTTGAGCTGTAGTTTTGGGAGTGCGTTTTCTGCAGCAGCGCGCACACCCAGGTGAGCACTGCATATCTCCTTTCACCCGAGTTTTCGCAGCTGGCTATAGATCGCAGCGGCAAAGATGACCCAACTTTTATCGAGACCTGTCTTTTTCATCACTGAGCGCGCTGTTCAAAATCATGTGGGGAGCCCCTGAAACAGAAATGTTTGCATTGTGTCCGGGTTTGAAGAAAGTGCCCCACGTGCCCGCTGTCTCAAAGACTTGAGCGCGAAGGAGCTAAAGACGGCATTCTGGCTTTCTGGCGCACCGATTGGACAAGACATTATTTGTCCTCGTGATGGCAGAGCGGGATGCGCGCTCGTCGACTGGATGCCCCGTGAACACCGCCGCGAACAGACACATTTCATGAGCTGGACCTGGAAATACAGCGTGCAGCAGGTGTCGCACGGACCGCGCGGTGTTTGACCGTTTGACTGTGCGTGACAAAAATCGGATTACGTGTTGTCCCTCCTTCTTGGCTGTACTGATGTTTTCTTGTTGTTGTGGTGTTTTGTGTTCAGGTTCTTGGGCTCCGTCTTGTTGAGGAGACATTAAAGCTGTGAAACCTCCAGAATGAAATTGTTTGTAGAGATTGAGTGGGGCATATAGGGATGCCTTGACTGCTGCAGGTGCAAAGTGCGTTGCAGACGTTTCAGGGCTGCCTGGGGGCACAACCATGCTACTTGTTCGTGTGTTTCTTTGCGAACAACCAGTTCCGCATCATTGTGGAAGGAACCACTGTGGGGAGTGATGACCTCGAAGATGTTTTTGAGAGCAACCTGAAACGAATTGGCAAGATGGTGGCAATTCTGGATACTTGGGACGCACCAATGTACCTCACTCGTATCTGGACGGTGTACGAGCAATATGTGGCCTCCACTATCCAAATTGAGGCCAGATCCGGAAGTTTTCGGTTGTCCGTGCTACTCCTTTTCGCGAGCTTTGGGCTCTAGCTTGCAAGTTCCCATTCTCTTACACTTCGCGGCTCTTGCAACAAACAGTCAGAGGTCTTGGTAGCTCCGCTGTTTCCCAGTTTGCCGCAGGCACTCACCCCTTTGCATCCCATCCGTTCCACTGGCAGGTTCAGTTCATCATGCCGAAGGCAGCAGCCAACCATCTCCAACGGCAGATCGCACGCGGTTCTGAGGGCATCAACCAGGTGATCAAAGCCTTGAGTCAAGTGGATTCCGAAAAAGCTGAAGCTTGGAAGTTGGAGGATGAGATGAAAGTGACACTTCGGCGAAGTTATGGGCGGAATTGATGGAGCTTCGGGGCATGAGGAGGTTCAATGAGCTTTGTGCAGTAAACCACCTTGTGTTTTGAGGTGCTTGGAGATTTGATGATTTGCTTGCATCTTTCCGATTCTTGGAGCCTGGGAAGTTCGCACTCCGAGGAAGTCCTTGATCCAGGAGCTCTTGGTGGCCGAGCACTGAACGTAGACACCCACAACCCAACAGCAAACTATTCCTTAGCGCACCGGAATTGTGAGCGGAGCGCCTGCATTCACTTTGATAGCATGAAACTCCACCAGCTAAATTCCTCCAACCAGCAATGCTGATGTTTTTACACACCTACAAACAAAACGCTTGTACGTGGGATGCATGTGACCTGGCGCTGTGGAGGACTCCGTGGGTTTCCACGCAGTTGACGTTCACGTCACGAATGTCATGACGACGTGGATTGGGAAGGTCTTAGAACAAACGTGCCGAGAGTTGCTTGGCCCGAAAATAAGTGTCCATCATGGTGGCGGAAATGGCAACTGCGATTGGGAACAGGGTGTAAGCTCATGCCCCTTTGTGTCAGCTTCGCACGTCAATCATCCACATCGCTCCAGAGTGCACGAGCCAAGATTCACCTTTTGCCATCGCCGCGAAACACACATTTGACCTCAGGCTGCGCACGCATCATTTGCAAGTGTTCCAATGAGTTGGTTGCGGAGCGCTCACTCACATGGAGTTTCCTTGGCCCTAGAGGCTGATGCTCATATTCGGAGGTCTACAACACCCGTTGACCGTTGACCTGCACACCGCGCCCCTTTGGCTCTGGGCCCGACTGGAGGCGAAGACGCTAAAGAGCACGGCGAGTCGGAGCCTGGGAGTCCCGCAACTCAGGGCGGCTCGGCCCCACCCTTGAGCACGACGACCTGGAAAAAGTCGCGGTCTGGTTGTCCCCGGCGCTACCTTCTCCCACCAGTCACGACGTTTCGAACATTTGTCTGCTTCTGCCAACAATTTGGGTTCAATGCCACCATAGCCTTTACCCTTTCCTTTGTTGGCCTCTTTTCCTTCGCCACGCTGTGCTGCTCGTGTTGCGATTTTCCACTTGGTTTGCCCTTACCTTTGTCTTTGCCCTTGCCTGTGGCAAGTTGGTCCTTGCCTTTTCCTTTCCCTTTGCCTTTTTTTTCCTTTTCCTTTGTTCACCTGGTCCACCTCCATAGGCACCAAACCGTCACCAGCTGCTATCCCACCAACTGGCCTCACAGTTTCACAGCCCATGATGCAGTGGCTCGGTCATAGTCCGTGATTAAATGTCGAACCTTGGCATAGGTGGTTGTGTCTGAAATCTGCAACTGCACGTGTCGTTTCAGTTCAGGTATCAAAAGCCGCAGCAAAATTGCAACCTTCATGATGTTGTCCACCTCACTGTACTGCGGCACGTGTCAGAGATCATATGTCGAGGCTTGGCCGAGGCCACCGAACGAGGCGGCCATAACCTCTACACGTCGATCCGCAAAGAAGCAGAACAAGACGCCGAGCATTTGGCCGTCGGACAAGGACGGAGTGGCCAAACCAAAAGGATTTGTTATGTCCACAGTCTGAAAGAGCTCTAAACACACTCGGCACACAGGTCTGCGCAGTGCGCAATTCGGAAGAGACGCGCAGCGCTTGGTTTGGACCAGCAACGGGCAACAAGCGTCGCCTCAGACAGCTCCTGGACAAGCCCTTCAGCGCTCAGAATTGCGCTGGCCAGCATGTTTGCCTGATCTTCGCCATGGCCCTGCCGCGACAATGCCAGCACACGGGCGCACTCCTGGACTGGAAAACCAACATAAGCTCCTGTTTGCACGCTTGTAGCAGAGGCGGTCTGGCTGCACACGGAAAACCGCGCTCCCAGCGGATGGCAAATGGCGCCCCAACAGCAGGCAACGTAGCCTTCCCAAGGGACGCTGTATGCTGCCAACATCCATTCGACCCACATGTTGGCAGATGTTTTGACAAAGCTCCACGCGAACCTCGGACTTGCTTGCAAGAATTGGATGAACCAGCCTGGCTAGGGTTTTTTGTGTGCAGCTGACTGCAACAGACTCTTGAAGCCCTTTTGGCCGGCTTTGCAACTTAATCATCCATATCGCTCAGTACCGCCACAGAGCGCTTGAGCCAGGACTTGCTGTTGCCTTCTTGTTAGCAATGAACCGCTTGATTCATATCTTGATGCGGAACATTTGCTTGCATGGTTTGCGCGGGATCTGTTTTCTGTTTGTTGAATACCTGTAATTGCCCACCGAGGCTGCTGGAGAGCGCACGTGTCACGGAGGTGTCCAAAAGAGAAGATTGTCGCATTGGCCAGGCGCGCCTTCCCGACCCAAGAACCAGAGTGCGTTGCATCAGGTGTTTTACACTCTTGTACTAAAGCTATGTTGGGTTATGTTCAGCTTCCTTCCTGCTGAAACACAATGACCTTTCTTGCATTTGCCAGCGGATTGTTTCGGAACTAGGGCGCGGATGCAAGGGTTTCCGCCGAGGTGACATCAAGCAGCGCAGATTCAAAAGGCGAACCTTTGTTCCTGGCCAATTTTTAGCAGCTGCAAATGACCTCCGACGACAATGCCAGGAATCCAATGATCAGGTATCAAACACAGCCAGGTATTTTTCTTTGGCATGTGTTGCTAACATTTACTGCCATGCCCAGCACCAGTTGCCCTTTTTCTGGGCATGACTGCTGTGATGTGACAGGTTTGCGCCTGCCTGTTTTGCGGTTTTAAGAATTTGCAAACGCAGGACAACGAAGGCCCAAGGCCGTGTTTGAGAAGTGCTGCCAGAGGCGCACGCAGCCCAGTGACTTCGCCAGAAGGTTGATGAGCAACACCTCTCCAACCCACCGAATCTGCAAGCCCAAAATTCGTTTTATTTGCGACAACTTGTTTGATCCAAAGTGTCGCAAGATTTCTTTGCATTTGCACGGCGGAAAAGTGTGCTCTTACAGAGCGGAAGAGCGCTGACGGATTTGTTTTTTGCTGTGTGTTTTGGACATCGCGGTTGCCATTGTTTGGTTAGCCAAAACGATTGGCACCAACCCACAACGCCTGAGTCCTGTCAGGCCTTGGCCTGTTCCCTGAACCTTAAACCCTGAGCCCTAAACCCTAAACCCGCCTTGAATGAATTTGCTATCACTCGATACCACAGTTGAGAGTCCGATAGCCTCACTAGAGGGCTTCCCCAACACTGCGCTGGCAATGCACGTAGAGGATGTATATGTGGATTAAAACATTGAAAACTGATATGGACATTTGGTTGGCAAAAACAGTCTAAATATATTATGAAACAATTGTCTTTTATTGTATTATGGTATTTGGGCTTCAGTTAATCATATAGTGTTATAGTTAAGGTGAAATAAGGCGCTAAGGAAAATGGGGTGAGGATTATGTAAAGCACAAACAGGAAGCCTAATAACACATACCGAGTGAGCTAATTTATGGAATTTTGAGGAGTTTGGTGGATTCAGGATGTAGGCCTGGGGTTGTGGATGAAACTTGACATACAATAAGACAAGTTGTAAAGTTTATGGTTTGAAACTGTTGTTCATGGATGTTAGTTTTAAGGAATATTGGTTATAGCAAAAACGTTTTAAGGGAGTGTAGGAATTATACATATTTAGGATTATGGCAAACAGTAAAGCCGAATTGTGTAATAAATGTTGAAAAAGAGAACGCTAGCCGCTAGATGAATTTGAAGAAGGTAGATTTGGATGTCGCAAATGTAATGCATATATGGTGACTGGTTTAGTTTTGACCCATGCCCAGTTTCCCTTGAGGTGACCACTAGGAAGCAGTAGAGAAACAGATCCGGAAGCAAGGCATGTTGCGCTCTTCGTGCTTTAGGACTCGGAGCCACACCTCAAATGGGCAGGTCTTACTTTTGGTCTCCCGCTAAAGCCACCAACTGGATTGCACCGGAAGGGGATGGAAGCGTTCGGGGCAACAAGGCGGCACAGAAAAAAAGGGTCCCTGTATTTCCCTTTTTGGGGGTGGTTGAAAGCATCGCCCTTTTGGCCCAAAGGTGCGTGTTTTCTTGGTGTTGGGTGATCTTTAAGATGTGATTGTGTTTTTGTGTCTGTGCTTTCTTTTGAACGGGGAAGTATAAGGAGCCCCCGAAAATATATCCCCGAACGTCGTGTTGTATCCTTACAGGTGAGGCTCATTGAGAAGGAGGGCTCCGGCTCCGGCCAGCCGCCAGCTCAGCCAGAGTTTTCGGTGCTTTGAACCCCTGGAAATTGGGTGTAGGCATAAACCGTAAGCGTGTATTGTTTATATTATTTTTGTGTTTATTGATTTGATTATTTATTTATTTTTTTGGGGGGGTGATTTGGACCAAAAGCAAATGCCTCGTCTTTTGGGCGTCTCTTTGAGCCATTTGTGTGTCTGTTTTTGAGGCCGCCCCGACAAATGGCTGGCTTCCTTTTGGTTCCCCTTAAAGCCAACTTCAAAAGAGGGTTCCCAGAAAACAGAGACACCCAAAACACGCGCCAAATCGGGTTCCCTCTGAGGATTGCTTTGATTCCTCGCGGAAAAATCAACCCATTCCCAATTTTGCCATGTCCCCCATACTGTGGATTGCCGAACTCCATTTCGATTTGCGCACCGTTCAGAAACCCTGGTTTCTGACTCGATTCCTTCAGAAGACTTGATTCCATTTGCTCTAGAGGCCAACAGGGAGCTTCCATGTTAGTCTGAGAAATTGTGTATGATTTCATCGTTGTCATTTCGGTTTGAACAAAATGGATGTCGCAACCATCAGTCTCGATCATGGCGCTACCCTGAGAGCCGCCAAGCAGGCCTCACTGGCCTCGGCCGGGCGAAGCTGAGAAGCCGACGTTGCCTGACGTTGCCAAGCCAGTTGGAGGTGTCTCTTTTTCTTGGGGACCCCGAAATGGCTGCGGTGTTCCTCCCACTACAAAACAAACAAATATGGGGTGCCGTCAAATCAAGCGCACACCATGTGTTTTTTGTTGTTGCAATTTTGGGCTCACATGCAAGCTCACAACGAGATCCAACTGCTTTCTGGTGTGTGGCCTGCAGACCCTCCTGTGTCAGGTGAGGATGCCACTTTCATGGACACAGCTTGCAGCTATCTTGGCCCATTTGGGAGGGACCATGGGGTTGTCCATCGCGACTATAGCGCAGTGACTTTTAGCAACGTCCGATTTCCAAAGAAGGAGCATCCAACAAGAGAACACACGGATCGAACAATGGGCAGCACACCGCTTGAGTTTTTTTTGAGGGGAACCCGCCCCCAGACACAGCCACCCGCGACCTGATGCTTCGATTTGGATCGAGCTCAGGACCAAGCGCCCGGTGGGTGGAGAACTGCGGTCAGCTGGGAGGCCGCGGGTGTTGGTGACATCTCCAATCTTTGTTTCTGTGTGTTTGTGTGTTTGTGTGTGTGTTTTTCTTCTTCCTTGTTTGTTCCTCCTCCTCTTTTTTGGAGCGGGGGCGTGGGGTGGGGGGTGGGCGTAAAGCGTTGGTGTGTTTTTGTCGGAGTCAAGTGTTTTCTTTGGTTGGAGGAAGTATGTTTTAGTTTTCTCTTGATGGGGGGGTTCAGCGGTCACAGTGTTTGACTCGAGTTTGGAGATTGCAAAGTGTAGCTGGTGTCTTTTTCCGAAGCAAGCAACACGTCCAGTTGCTTTTGTTTTCGTGTCTAGTTTGCTCTTGTTTTGACGGCCAAAGCCAGGCATGAGCTTGGGCGTTCTTGGGTGAGCCACAATCAAGACCCGGAATTGTAGGCGTAGGCGGACAGTCCCAACCATGAATTTCCGTCGCCACCTGATTTCTTCACGTGGTTTTGGTTAGAGCCTTGAGTCCCAGGTTCTGATTTCTCAGGGCCCGCTACAAAACGACATGTGACGTTGCCGCCAAAAATCCTGAGGGTGGAGCATTGCCAATATCAACCGCATGTCCCGCTTCAAGCTTTTTGGTATTTCACTCAGAAGAGCCTCCCTAGGCCTCCCTAAGGCTCGCGAGGGACCCTGTGAAAATAGATGGCGCAAAGCCAATCCACTATCTATACTGGAGTCTCCCCCAAACATACTACATATTATTTAGCGTACAAATGGAACAGAGTCAAAAGATATCATTTTGGGTGCAACCAGATCGCGAATTCAATTCCCCCAGGCCGGTTGGCTCTTTTCTTCTCACCGCAAGGGGGACGCAACGGCCATGGTGCCAGGCGGGAGTGCTGCCGACCGGGAGCGCAGCCCCCGGCGCTAAATCCGCGGCTGGGGCCCTGGCCGGGGAGTTCGGAGTTTCAGGCGTGAAAGTGGTTGGCGCATTTTTTGTTGGGGCCGCCATGAAATCCAGTTAGGGCGGAATCCTGAGTGAAAGTAGATACAGATACAGCCAGCGTTTGTGTGATAAGTGATATTTGTGTGATTTGCGTTTGTGTCAAAACCCCGCCAGCCCTGCGCTGGGTGATTCCCCTGTAAATACCAACAAACAATGGTTTTCCGATAGTTTCAAAGCTTGAGTTGGTGCTGGGAGGCCTGGTCCATAGATTTGGTCTATATACATATATATATATGTATATATATACCTCCCGAGAGCGAGAGATGTCACCCCAGAGCAATTGCAAGGCACTCAAACATGGGCATGAAGGCGACGAAGTGTGCCACATCTAGAGTCTAGAGTTGCCTCTCAAATGCTGTTCATTCCCGAAACAGTTGTCAGCAGCTCCGAATGTGTGAACTTCAATTGAAATGATCTTGAAATCGAACGCCGTTGCGCAAGACGTAAAACATGCACCAAACAGTCCCACGCAAACTGATGTGCGATTGGCGAATTTGCTGTTTAGCGGCGCATGTATCCGGTCTTGCGACAGGTATCAAGTGCTGCCAATTTTGGCCGGAGAAATGGCGTTTGAGGGAAAAGGCTTTGAAGACATGATAGCCAGGACCGACGTGCCCGCTGTGCAAAACTACAACAAATTGTGTCTTATTAAAATTAGGTTCGGGGTTTGAGTATACAAGCGGTATGGCAAGCGGTTTTTTGATATGAAATCGGTGAGATATATTTGTTATGTATTTTATAAATTAATTAAAGGCGGACCACATACGAATGAAGTGGCAAAAATTGTTATAATTTAAGTATTGTTTTTTATGTAGTAAAATGATAATTTATAAATTTAAAAAGAAAATGATAAATAAGAAGAAATATAAATTGTTAAATCTTGGTTCTATTTGTTGTTGATATTAAAACGATGGAAAGGAATAATTAATTATATATATATATATATATGTCTAAATTATTAATTAATGAAAATGGTTTTGAATATTGATTTTATTTAATGAATAAAGCAAAATAATCTTATTATTTTATTATTCGAAGGTGTGGGTATTAGGATGGGCTTGTAATTTGGGATATTGATGGAGGAATTTTTGTAAGAATAATTATTGAATAATGTATTTTGGAATAATTATATAATTGTAGTTTTATATTATTATTGGAATTATATTTTAAATGATATATAATATATATTGATTATGACATTAATATAGGTCGAAGATACATATAGATATATATTTATGATG